ATCCCAGCTATATGACGGGGGTCTGTAAGTAATCGAGTCCGGACCAGACAATCCAGTGATTGACATCATGAGCGTCGATCCACGCAAATGGGATACGATGACATGCATCAACCAAGTCAGCGAGCCTGACCACCCGATCCCGTTAAACTAGCAGGATTAGTGTTGACTTTGGTGGGAGTTTGTAGAATTACGTGGAACCATCGTAAAAGACACTTTCATAAGGTCACCGCGTTGTGTCTTTACTTACGTAGTATATATACAGAGAGAAAAAGCCCGCGCTCATTCTTGTTCGAAACCATTTTTTACGAAACGAATGGTCTTTGTATGGTATCTAGCATTCGCGTTATTTTTTTCATGAATGAAAATTTCCAGCGTGACCTATCAAGTGTGACCTTAGCGAGGTCACGGTTATGCAATCAAAGCGAATAAAACGAGGTCAACCTTGTACGACACACGTGTAACGTAAGGATTTAGTATCTCACCACCTGTCTATTTACCGGTGGGTATTTACCTGGAGTGACCCGACTATATTTCTCACGAACGACGTCAAATCAAGTTATTAAACTCGATCACCTCTTGTCTCTGGGCTATATCAGTGCAGAATAGGTACACGACGACGAGAGTTTGTTTTTAACTACGTTTACAAGAAATGATTACCCAGCTCTATGCTTAAGTTCCTGTCATCAGAAAAGAGCTTAATTTGAAATGCGAACTTCAAAGGGACAAAAATAAATGTAAGGGTCGACGAAATGAAACATGAACTATTTCCAGCCCAGCCTCGGGTCATGATGGGGGTGGGGGTGGGGGTGGGGTGGGTGGGGGAGGCGGGGCGTTATCAGATGTGTATAGATGTGATTAAATCATTCGCTAACGTTGGTGAGATGTGAGTGAGCGAATGAGATTACTGAAATAGAGGGTGAACAAGTGTATCTGTTATATATCATAGAGTGCCTGGGTGAGGGAGTTGGATTTAACGCCGCTTTAAACCGTATACGAGTCATATCACGGCGCGTCTGTTTAATGTGGGAAGAAAGCCCGAAGTGATTCAGGTCTAAGACGTTTACCACTTTGGTGAAACCCATGAGCAGGGGCATAGTGCTGACAAACCTAGAAACGTAATCGGAGTGAAACGGGATTCGAACCCACAATCATAGGTTTCTGGCGTGCCCAAGGGACGCAACTCTGCACAGCGAATCGAGGCGCCTTAGACGACTGGGCCCCACGTGCTCCGGTTGAAATAGATTAAGTTGATCTTGATTAAAATAATACATGTATTTGTCAAGTATTTGATCCAAATAATAAATAAAACTTGTGAGCGAGTCGTTGAATACATGTTAATATTGCAGCTATATCTGACAAGTAAATACTAGTCTGAGTTAGTATGAACCAGTGGTCGAGAGCATGATCATCGACGATGACACAGAATCAGTGAGGTCACGTAAAGTGGCCACCAGCACGACTGGCTGGAATATAACTGATGCGACCTAAAGCAACATTCACTGACCATTCGTAATATGATCGCGTCTATAAATCTTCTAATGCGTACCGAGTGCCCAGTCTTCTAAAGCGCCGCAATTCGCTATGCAGAGTTGTATCCCTTATGCGTATCAGAACCCTAAGACCTGGGTTCGAAACCCGGTTCGCCCCTATTATGTTTCTAGGTTTGTCAGCACCATACCCGTGCAAAGCGGTAAATGTCTCAGACCTGCATCACTTCGGACTTTCCTTCCACATTACGCTGACACGCCGTGATCTAACTAGAATACTGTTAAAAGGGTCGACATTCGCATTGTTCGAGCGATGAAATCGTTTGAATCTTAGATTAAAGTTCGGCATCAAAGAAAGCATTAAATAAGAAGATCCGGGGTAGAATAGGTCTTCAGCAACCCATGCTTGCCGTAAAAAGCGACTATGCTTGTCGTAAGAGGCGACTAACGGGATCGGGTGGTCAGACTTTGTCGATGCAGGTCATCGTATCCCAATTGTGAAGATCGATGCTCATGATGTCAGGCACGGGATTGTCTGGTCCAGAGTCGATTATTTACAGACCGCCGTAATATAGCTGGAATATTCCTGAGTGCAGCGTTAAACAACAAACAAACACATGAAGAACGATGCAGCGTGAGGGCCCAGTATGAGAGTGAGTGAGTGAGTGAGTGAGTGAGTGAGTGAGTATGGTTTTACGCCGCTTTTAGCAATATTCCAGCAATATCACGGCGGGGGGACACCAGAAATGGGCTTCACACATTATACCCATGTCGGGAATCGAATCCGGGTCTTCGGCGTGAAGAACGAACGCTTTAACCACTAGGCTACCCGACCCGTATAGCACGTACAATACAGCCGGCAAATGAAGGTATACACTTGAAAAGTAGATTTGAAAAATTACAAACGCTATCAAAGCGTTACTAGGCTGAAAACAGTCGCCGAAACACTGCAAATTCAAATAACTATTTCTTGTTTGTTTCACTGTTAGCCAGCAACATGGGTGTATACCTTCATGCTGACAGGCAATTTATTTATATTAGTACGTTCCACGGTATCATTTAGACGTCCCGCCGTGATATTGCTGGTATATTGCTTAAAGCGGCGTAAAGCCAAAATCACTCACTCACTCATCAAAACGTCGAGTCGGACGTATGATGTCCCAACATAAAAAATCCCATTATCTGATTTATGTCAATTATCTCTCCCATATCCACAATGGCATTTGATTTGTTCGGATAATGTTTATTATTAATTCTGGCTATAGTTTGCTCGGGAACAGATGTCTTATCTTACGCTATTAATAAATTCTGAAATAATGCACCGGGACATCGCGTATTTGCCAAAATGGCGGACAATAAAGAGATTGGCAATTTCTGTAATCGTTATCAAGACACGAAAATTGACTTTGTGTCTGGAACTGTCGAACAGAAGGGAATGGAACAGGTTATTCGTCACCAAAAGGAATTAAAAACTACTTTCTTACATAAGCATTACAAGGGTCATCTGAAGCCATTCTCATTCATGAAGTGTGACGATATCCTGTTGCACTGTCGGATCGCGGTGGCAGATCACTGCGGGGCACTCAGTTACAGAAATGTTACTGACAACGCGGTGGTTGCCATGGAGATTCCAGCAACAGCACAACAATCGGTAAATATATCATTTGAGAAGGAAATAAATAGTGCTTGGTCACGCCAGCAATACATTGTGTTGCTGTGAAAAATAAAAGGAATACTAGCAGTGGTCATTACAGCCACGACCATTTTGAATTTAGAACCAGTTCTATGTGCGTGAGGGCGCTGGGGTAGCCTAGTGGTTAAAGCGTTGGCTCGTCACCCCAAAGGCCTGGGTTCGATTCCCCAAATGGGTATAGTGTGTGAAGCCCATTTCTGGTGTCCCCCGCCGTGATAATGCTGGAATATTGCTAAAAGCGGCGTAAAACCGTACTCACTCACTCACTATGTGCGTGACAAACATATGACGAATACAACGCCAAGAAACATTCATTGGCATGTGAAATTCGTTATATATGAATAATTCAAGTAAAACTACATTGTTTGGTATAATGTGAGTAAGTTGGATTGATCCTGTCTTATAACGTGTCATGTGTTTAAAGCCTTACATTCATTTGCTTGGTTTACGGGTCCGCCGACATAAATAAAAAAATTCAGAAAGAAAAAAAATCAAATGATAATATGTTTTAAACCGCCGACAGTAACGATCGGTATAAATAATCCGAGGGATATTGAAATGTCTAAAAGCATTTTACCCAACGAAATTCGTCACCATAAGTCAAATAATTAGGACCCAAACCAGGGCAATATTTATTTTGTCACCTACGAGTTCATATCCAAATCAAACATTAAGATGAGTAAAAACAATGTTGTCCAATGCATTTTATTGCTATTTTCTTTCGACCTAACGACCAAATCTTTCATTGCGATGAACCAGACCGCCTCCGTGGTCTAATGGTAGAGCGTCCGCCCGGAGAGCGAAGGTCCGAGGTTCGATCCCCGGCCGCGTCATACCAAAAGACGTTAAAAGATGGTATTTGTTGTTACCCTGTCTGGCGCTCGGCATTAAGGGGATAAAACAGGGTCTGTCGGCTCGGAGTCAGTGTACTGTGTCTAAGTGGGGTATTCATGTTATATACTGCGGCATGGTATCTCAGTGTGCTAGCACTATAAATCGGCTTTAGTCCGGACTAGTACAAGCAGCCACACAGACACATACACGTGCATGCAGTCGCTATATAAGTGTAATAATCTTGGACGCGAAACCTCTTTTTACCTCACCTCACACTGATAAACCAAATAGTTAGCAAACATCGCCACTCCGACAATCTCTCTCTCTCTCTCTCTCTCTCTCTCTCTCATATATTCATAAATATATATATATATATATATATATATATATATATATATATATATATACGTGATTAAATACAATTCCACGGGCGGTCGGGTAGCCTACTGGTTAAAGCGTTCGCTCGTTACGCCGAAGACCCGGGTTCGATTCCCGACATGGGTACAATGTGTGAAGCCCATTTCTGGTGTCCCCCGCCGTGATATTGCTGGAATATTGCTAAAAGCGGCGTAAAACCATACTCACTCACTAATTCAGACAATTCACACACTAATTCGTTATGAACGGTTAGTCATCTCCCCTGTTTGCATGAACTGAAGTGGTACATACACATTGCCCGGTGCATTTTTATGAGCGGAAATCTCTGCAGTCGTAATTACACAATTCTGAAGACTACATTTGAGACTACAAAGGTTCGACAACACAGGTTTACGAAATCCCAAGGCCATAAATTTGCTACAGAATCGTTAGAAGTGATATGGAAACACGTGCGGAAACGGTAAATTCTTGAAGGCAAGAACTCATGTTCATGCCTCTCTGAGGATAATTACATCCGAGTTATTAGAGCGACAGGTTATATTGCGTCGGTAATTGAAGCCAGAAATCATCTTTAGCGGAAAGAAACATGAATAAATTAGTTTACCTACCTGAAAGGTTAATAAGCCGGTTACTATGACAACCTGGGACGAAGAACTCGTGCAGCGTGGGAGAACAGTCGTTTTCTTTCCCGCTCTGAAGATTCGGTAGATTCTACTGGTCTTCACCAACAGCGGTACGTAGACCAAGGTGAAGGTCAGACTAAAGCCAACGTTGTTGACGTAGCATGAAAAGTTGTTTGGGAACGTGAGGAAGCCGAAGACGAGGAGGTAGGCGGCACAAATCCCCACTAGCATCATCTGGGACAGCTCGCGGCTCGACGACCGGATAATCCGCTCCTTCCGGAAGTTGTGGAAGAACAGGATGACGAACGTGGTGAGGGAGAGTCCGACGATGGTGAAGAAGAAGAGAACGATTGCAATTGGATCGCTCATTCTGACGTAAGTTGGATCCACTGAAAGGCACGTCTTTCTCGTTTGATTATCAGGCCAGAGGAACTCATCACATGCTTGACATTGTGTTGAGTTAGAGGATGTAACTTCGTTGTCTTTGCAGGCGACACATTTCCAGCAGCATGTCTCTCTGGGAAACGTTGCGATTTCACCGACACCGCACGGTTCCGCACACTCGGAGAGCGGTAAACCTTCACTTCCGTTTGTAAAACTCGGCCACTGAAGAAAGGTTTCGTCTATATTTAACATGGCGGTTCGCATATCCCACATGCCCACATTCTGATGAAGCGGCAAACTGTTGACCATCTGACACTGACGAACGTCAAGTTTGCCAACTACGTCACCATTTTGGTCAAAAGATATCTTCCCGATGGAACCATAGTATTCTACTTTCTTAACATATTTCAGAAGGGTTTCAGTGTTAATACAGCTTTGCACTTCCTTACCTCTAGCAGTGGGACACGCATCTTTGATGTACGCATCCAGCGCATTCGCAAATGCGTACACTGCATCCACTACGTACGATGCTGCAAATTTGGGGATATAGTCAACACGGTCCATCGTAGAATTATCTAAGATTTCGTCCGTTTCTTCACTCCCAGGCTCATGGCCTTCAAAGCAAAACCACTGATCAAAACTTTTGAGTTTTCTTCGTTCCTGTTCGTTATATTTTCTTGCTTGAAGGTGTGTCTTCATATACGTCATGAACGTCGGCAGCGTTGATGAATACGGCCTTACAGCCAGTGAGCCCACTATGTCGTTGCAGATATCCGAATGATCATTTAAAACAACCGACAATCCATCACTTCCGATCCAGATAAACTCCCGTGATGCACGAGTTCTTTTCACGGCCTTCATAATGAACATGGTATGCTTGATGTCGGCGTATAGTACGACTACCTTTGCGGTTGTGTATCTTCTTAAGGACGTTATGACATCGTCGTAATCCTCCTTGGTCATGCCGTCTCGTAGTTCAATAGACTGGGCTACGCATATATCAATTTGGCGAAGTAGCGGTTTCAGCTTCTTCTCGCTCTCCTGTCCATAACTTCCTTCAGAATACACGACTGATACGTAGCTCCAGTTAAAATATTGTAAAACGTCCGCTATCACCTTCACCTGATTCAGATCTGCTGGAACCATTCTCAGAAAGTATGGAAACTTCGTTTTGTCACTCAACAAATCACTAGTCGCCGTATGACTGATTTGGGGGATCTTAAACAAGGTCATCACGTTGGCAACGACTATACTTAAGGAACTCGTATATGCACCCAACACTCCGACAACATCGTAAAATCTCGGTAGTTTCCGGTCTTCACATGACGAGGCATTGCACGTGCTGTGCAGTCTGTTGGCTTCCGGCATAAATTGCATCGCCCGTGCCAGGGCCATAGAGGGCAGAAAGCAATCGTCCAAGATGGTGGTGCCTAATGTAATGTTTGACAGGATGTCAGAACTGTTGTTAATTTCACTAATTGCAAATCTGACAGCTTCGACATATTCAATAGCCCTGAATCCAAATATACTGTCACTACAGCGGCCGTCTTTCGATGCGTGGATTGAAAACACGGCGCCAAGATTGATGTCGCCGTCGATTCTGGTGGAGTATTTGCTGTCGTACACGTCTTCGGGAAAACTGTGAATTCCAAACAGGAACAGGACCCATATCAAGTATAAAGATGCGACGACTTGCTGTCCAAGAGGAGCTGCACTTGCCATTGTCGTTCATAAACTGTGATTACGACGGCCGTGTTCCTGATACTTTAACACATAATTCTTTGGGATTGCAGACACCAGAAGCGCTACTTTGATATGAACGTTTTTGTTCTTCGCTCTGTTTAATTCGAAATCGAAATTACGAATCCGCCCTCCATATCTTTAGATTATTTCTTCTATTTCTGAATTCAAAATGACATTGGTTTGACGCATTTACTAAGTTTGGTTGTAAATCTGATTCAGTGGAAAACCGAAACAGTTATTTTGATCCAATCATCTTATCGATTCTCAACTGTCTTGATCACTTGTAGACATCCATGAATGCAGTCAATGGGGCCGCTTCATAAGCTGAGCTACAAATAGAATAAATCTTTAACTAACGAATCATTTATATGCATCGTCGCACATTCGTAACAGACGTGCCAATACACCTCTCTTTGCCTATTACTCAATCAAGTACTCATAAATTCATAAACAGGACCCCAGTGATGCCATGGGCGGGAGAGCGTCTAAAATACGCTGCAAACAGCGCTGTGAAAACATTCACATTTGTTCTGACAATACACGGAGTATAATTAGCCTGTTAGGAATGTTTCAGAAGACGGAGGTGGGCTGGCATGATGGACTGTACTTTCTCAGATCCTTAGCAAGTGAGGAAACATTTATCGAACGTTAAATATTGCAGTGCGATTATACTCGTAATGGTACCTCCTTCTCCAGTGGATTCATAACGATTCAACCGATAGCCTCTTCGCATAATACGTCTGTATGGATGACAGATGGGTTAAATGTACAGCCACACACTAAAGGTAAACACACTTACAGATGAACTTTGAGAACACTGACGGAATCAAATATTTCTTCATGCCATTTTAACACAAGTGGATTTAGTTCTCTGAGAGTCTTTTCTGAGGCTAATGGCGTTTCTTGCTATTACGGTTATTTTAGGTAATAAAGTTTAACACCAACCTCTACAGAGCTAGTTTGCCTTAATGGGACGAGGCATGTTCCGCGCTTCTGGCGAGGCTGCGTTCAGTTCTAAGAGTCGTCTGTTAGGGGAATGTGCACACGTTGTGGAGCCTCCGATGTCCTGTGTTCTTTCAAAGGTATTAATCCATTACAGTCGACACACAAACGTCAGACCCAGTCTAGGTGAGGGAGCATGGACTTTATGGCCCTTGTGATAACGATGTTGTGGAAAATATTATTTTCGCGGGTTTTTTTTTTGTTATCAGAGTATAAATAAATTCGCCTAAATTTCCCGAATCAGCATAAAAATTCAGTATGCAGACACGGAGGTATAAAAACAAAGATACAATTTCCAGATTATGATCGTGTTTAAATATATATGTCCCTGGCCAGTCTCTTCATGTTGCAGTCGTTGATGCATGATTAGTACCAGGATAGTGACAAAAATCGCTTCTGACAGACACCTTGTCTTCTGCTTGGCATATAAGCCATTGGTTTCACGTTCTGTATTAGTTAGGAACTTCGTGACAAGCCTCGTCCTTGATTTTGACGGGTATTTCAGCCTTGAGCTTAAATGATCTTCTTAAAGAGTTCAGGGCCGTGTTTAGCTGCCAAAATGTACATTTTCAGTGATCAAATGACACATCTCTCAACTTTAGTCTGTTTCAATGATTACGGACGTCCAAACAAAAACAAACACTCACCAAAGTTGGAATTGTTGGAATATGAGTTTTCAGAGCTCATTTTTCTTCCTTGATCCGGCTGTCCATTCCTATATCCGTGAAACGCCATGGTCATGTCCTAGCGTAATAGTTGGGCAAATCTCTGGGAAGCAGGACGAACATAACGAATTAGCGGGACACGAACGTCTTATATTCTCAGTGTATAAAAGTTAGATGTGCATTGCGTGACACGCTCCCCTACCGCCTGGCAGACTTTGATTATTTCCAATTTCTTTCAACCGACATCCATCAATCTTTTATGCAGACAGAAATATTCTATTGTCTTGTCAACCTTCCATATTAGGGCAATTATTTTCTCCCGTCTTCATACTACACATACTAAGTTGCTTAGAAACACCACTCTCACACTGACTTCGTTGTCGCCGGCTCGGTGCTTTAACAGTGACCACCACAGCCAGCGGTAGTACCGCATTGTCGTCTGCTTCACAAGCGCATGCGCATACAAATCAAAGAAATCAATCTGATCGAAGCTCTTCACAGCAACAGAGAGAGCTCGTCAACACGTGCAGTCATATCGAGTAATGGCGACGGTATCGCTGCCTCAGACCGACCATAAGATGCACGTGGCGAACATCGCCGGCTGTTGCTGAAAAGCCTGAGCGGGGTCAGCGAGATAAGTGGCACTAACAACTTCTCCGATACCTGCACGTTAATAGATCGAAGCCTGTAGGAGGCATTTCAAGGGGCCATGTAACTGCACGTTTAGAGGACAGATGTGTATTAATTCTTTACGTTATCCCATTAGTCACCATTATGAAATCAACAGAGCCTTCTAGGGGATTGTGGTTACTAAAGGGATTAATTCATCATCTGCATAACCTGACGATGGTTGCCGAGAGGGGACATCGCTTTCTCGCGTTGCGTATTATAGCTTTCTTGTCTCGTGCAATCGCTTTCTCGTATCGTGTTATCGCTATCTCGTATCGTGTTATCGCTTTCTCGTCTCGTGCTATCACTTTTTCGTTTCGTGCAATCGCTTTCTCGTCTCATGTTATCGCGTTATCGCCATCTCTCATACCTAATGAAGGCGAGAAAGCGATGTCCCCTCTCGGCCACTAAACTTAACAGGTTTTCCATCCTTTGTATTGATGAAGTCTTTGTAGGCATGCTCCCAGGCTGCATATATGGATGCCTCATTGACACCAGTAAATGGAACAACATTTAGTTCATGTTAGTTTAATGTCAAGGGTTTATCCACATAACAGGTGCGACACAAATAGCACATGCAACAGACATAACAGGTGCGTTACTTGTTGGTTTCTTTCTTTCTTTATAACGCCGCACTCAGCAAGTTCCATCTACATGACGGCGGTCTGTAAATAATCGAGTCTGGACTAGACAATCCAGTGATTGATATCATGAGCATCGATCTACGCAATTGGGATCAATGACATGCATCGACAAACCACCCGATCCCGTTAGTCGCCTCTTACGACAAGCATAGTCGCTTTTCATGGCAATATTCCTGCAATATGGCGGGGATCTGGAACAGGCAATCTACGCAATTGGGATACGATGACATGCATCATCCAAGTCAGCGACCCTGACCACCCGATCCCGTTAGTCGCCTTTCACGGCAATATTCCTGCAATATGGCGGTGATCTGGAACAGACAATCTACGCAATTGGGATACGATGACATGCATTATCCAAGTCAGCGAGCCTGACCACCCGATCCCCTTAGTCGCCTCTTAATGGGTCTTCACGTATGCGTTTCTTGTCACACATGATTCCTTTCGACGCTAGGTCGTAATGATCATGTCGTATATCCCATACTGCCACGTAACATAGACGGGTGTTTCTTTGATGCATGTAACTCTTCATCTGAAACCACGAACGACAAATAAAACAAATGTGATTACAGGCCAATTAGCTGTCAAATAACTCAAATAACTCAAATATATGGTTTAGTTATGAAGAACAGAGCTCCCCTAAATTGACTTTTTTTCACCTAAATGGACTCACGTAAGTAACCCCACTCCGCCCCCGATCCATACAAGCAACAGTGCTTGTGGACCATTCTAACAAGGGTCCACACGGGTCCTTCTCTGTGACTGATATAGTGAGTGAGTTAGTGAGTTGGGTTTAACGCCGCTTTTAACAGTATTCCAGTTATATCACGGCGTGTCAGCTTAATGTGGGAGTAAAGCCTGAAGTGATGCAGGTCTCAGACGTTTACCACTTCGGTGAAACCCACGAGCACGGGTATGGTGCTGACAAACCTCGAAACATAATCGGGGCGAACCGGGATTCGAACCCACAATCATAGGTTTCTGGTGTGCCCAAGGGACGCAACTCTGCACAGCGAGTCGCGGCGCCTTAGACGACTGGGCCACCCGTGCCCCCTATGACTGATATAAGATACACACCCGCGTGTGGACTCCGGGTTAGAATAGGTCCCCGACACAGGGCCTAGGCTGGCCCTAAGAGGCGTCCCAATAGTTGATTGACTTGGTTGATTGTGTGTCATCGTACCCCGTCGGGGTGGATCGTTGCTCGCAATATCGATCACTGGATTGTCCGGTCCAGATTCGATTTTTTTCAGATCGCAGTCATATAGCTGGAATATTACGGAGTGCAGCGATGAGCAACAAACAAACATCTGTTATCATTTCATTTCTACGGCCTTGATTATCAATGATGGAACTTGTTATTTATCAAGGTAATAGGTCATGAAATTTTTAATTTTAGAGCTCCAGTAGTATTTCAAATTGTTTTAAGACATTGATAAACTATTATGGTACCAAATCGGGTCTCAACTTCTGATATTCTAGTGAGGCTCTGACAGGTTCATGAAAAAAGGCCTTCATTCATATTAACCACAAACTCCATTGTACGCGGACTATTTCGGTCATCACGCGGATATTGATACTGATTTTTAATTTTATATTGCAATGGCAAGTTTTTTGGGCTATCGTTTCTATATAACATAGCTGAAGCTCTGTTGTTGGTATCAGCAAGTATCATGTTTTACGCGTGTCGTGCGTCATCGATTATTCAATGCATTCCCTGATGCCGAATTTAAATCCAAAGATCCAAACGATTTCATTACTGTCATCGCTAGAACAATGCGAATGTCAAGTTAACCAGCAAGAGTTTGGCTTAATGCCGCTTGCAACAGTATTTCAGTTGCTTCACGGCGTGTCAGCTTAATGTGGGAGGAATGTCCGGAGTGATGAATGTCTTAGATGTTTACCACTTCGGTGAAACCCACGAGCACGGGTATGGTGGTGACAAACCTAGCATTATAACCGGAGTATCCACAATCGGCTCTGGCAGTGTGTTTCCTGTTACGGAAAGAGCCGACGATAGCCATATGTAAGCACTTCTATTACTCCTTACGTTCAAGCAGGCCCTGCTGAACAGACACAGCGTTTGACTGTATGCACACTGAGGTTTCGTTTCCAAGCTAGCATGTTCTTTTATCAACACTTGAGAACTGTCTGTAAAACGTGGAAACAATTTACTCAAAATGCTTCTGACGAAAAAGATGGATTTGTGAGAAAACCCTACCAGACAGACATGCTGTATCTACCATTAAACGCGTATAGCTTATTGCTGGTTTTTCATGCGATCCTGCCAGTTAAAAGTTCTAGAATGAATGTGAACGAACCTGATAGTCAGCAACGTGTGTTGGCTTCCAGAAAACAGAAAAAAGCTAAATCTCTTTCGTTGTTTTGAAATTTAGATTTCGGCAAAGTTCTTGTCATCTAAGTACAGGCGGATGATAAATACAATTACATATTTAATATTTAATTTTAAATCACGTTCAGATTAAGGCCTTGACATTATCACAGCGACCCGTTTCCGTGCACCGGAAGAGGAGCAAGAGAGCGCCCTCTGGTTTCATTTTGTATACACTGCTGCGAGCTGTCAATCAATCTGACAAGGCCTAAAGAAGCGCAGTAACCTCAGTAACTGCGAAATGAGCATTTAGACGACTCTCTCCATAATTTCCATTTCAGAGTTATTTTTAAAAAATAATTACCTTTAGCAATAGTTTGTAAAAGGAAAATCATTGTGATTTTTGCAGGTTTCGGATAAAGCTTTTGTATATAGTATGTTTCGATGTTGCTGTAACAGGTTTCAGGGATCCATTCACATAATATTCACCGAAATTTTGCTTTTTACGCCGCATGGAATCTGTTTTGGTGGATAATCGAGAATGCTTATTCTGAAATGGAGAAATCGTGACAATATGTTGATTTCGGGAGCAGAATCAAGGTATTTTCGGATTTAACCCATATTATGGTTGCGTCAGTTTTACTTGTTTAAAATGCACGTACAGAATTAATGATTTCTGGCACAGAATCAGTTGCAAGAACAGTAGCGTCGCGTGATCATAATGGTTTAAAAGGTATGATAATATATTGTATATGTACCAGTTTTGACAGTAACCTCACGTAAATGTTCAAATCATCACTTTCTCAGGGTCGCACAATCATCCGACAGACGGCAGGGTGGTTTAATGTTTGACTAAAACAAATTCATAAAAGGTTAATACTGAATATTGTGAAACACAATTGATTGCTTTAAAATATCCATATTTTTTTCAAAACGGTAGGCGAAATGAAACAGGGTAGATTAATTTTTAAAGGACTCTATATCTTGGTACCAGTTTGTGTATTTACTTGCGTGAAGGTAGGTGGAAATTTAACGTTTTAGTTGAACACCTTAATAACATCATGCTGGTTTGGGGGTCTATTTGCATATACACGAGATGATATGATATTTCCTGTTTAGATAATTTCAGCCAGCTCTACTTGCTACTAACTCTCTAAAAGACTTATAACATGGCGTTTGATAGTAACATGATAAGATATAAACAGCTGTATCATTGAAGGAGGAGTGTAAGAAGTCAGGTTCAATCTTATAGTTTAAGTGCGTATGTGTTGACTTTATTTCAAGCATGAAATCAATTTAGAGCGAGTTTGAAGGTTGAACGTTGGTCGTAAATCACTGAACGTAACATTATTTGAATTTAAAAATCATTATATCCCGAATAGAACTCGTGTGATAACGAGTATATGTTGCGAATATCCAATCCCATCAGAATACAGACAGGCAGACCGGCAAATGTTGTTTTCTAGAACCTCAAACTTAATGTATCATTGACGAAAATGATGTCTGATTAAATTCTCTATTTAACAAGACCACATGTCCTCGGGGTTTTTTCCCAGGGGACAAATTGACTTGTCTTTGCGTGTATCTGTGACGGTTACCTCCAGTGGGGCAGGATACGCTCACTTTTCAGTAATATCTTGTATCATCTCTATTTGATAGTGATTCATAAACACATGCTCATGATCTAGTCGGAATCGTACAGTGATCTCTGCTTTTAGTACAGTTTCTTATGATCACCGTCACGATATGGCTGAAATATTCCCGATGTGACGTTAAACTTGGGGCGTGCTTTTAAAGCCTTCACTGGTAACCTCTCTCTGTGTGTCTCTCTGTCTCTGTCCCTGTCTCCCTGTCTCTGTCTGTCTCTCTCTCTCTGTCTCTCTCTGT